GCAAATTTAAATTTTCGCCAGTGCTGTGGAGCTTCAATCTTTGGCTATGTCTTGGGCTACTCAAATATTTTACGTTTTTGATACTAAATTAACATCTGAAGTATAATTTTTTATTGTTTTTATATTTTTCAATATATTTATTTTGTTTGTACAAAATAAAAAAATAATTTTTAACGATACAATAGTCTTCGTTAGGCTTAACATCGACGAAAATTCAACGCGAAGCGACACGCAACGGAAAAAAATTTCGACATTGGATACGTTAAACTATTTTATCGTACGTAAATCAGTTATCCGAAATATCAGTTATCCGGACAACCCCAGTCCCCAATTGATTCGGAAAATCGACGCTCTACTGTATTTTAATTTGAAAAAGGTATAGGAATAGTATTACATCAGTTAAAACATATCCAGGTACATATGTTTGTTTAGACCATAATCCAGTAGTGACTCGTATGAGAGTTAAGTTTAAGAAAAATAGTATTAAAAGAAGTAGAAATATAGATATAGGTAGGCTAAGAGATCCCAAAACAAAGAAAAATACTAAAAATGATATAAATGAAAGTTTTTCAAAAATAAGGAAAAAATTTTGCAAAAGAAAAGAGGAAGAAAAAACAAATAGTGAAGAATTATGGAATAATCTGAGGAAAATTATAAACAATGTAGTGGAACAAAATCTGAAACCTGAGAAAACATTAAAGAAGAAAGAATGGATGTCAGAAGAAATATTAGAATTAATGGAAGAATGAAGACATTGGAAAAATAAAAATATTACTAAATATAAAGAACTCCATGTCACTATAAGAAGGAAAATTAAAGAAGCAAAAAAAAATTGGATGAAAGAAAAATGCGAGGAAATTGAAAATTTGCAAAGACGCATGATGCGTTATAATGTAGTAAGAAGATAAAAGAGCTTACCAGAACAAATAGAAGAAATAAATTTACTAATATTTTAAATGAAAAGGGTGATTTTGTTTTGGAATTGGGAGAAAAACTGAAATTATGGAAAGAGTACGTTGAAAAATTATATTTTGACGAGAGAAATTTAAAACCTATAATAATTGATAAAGAAGGACCAACGATATTGAAAGTAGAAGTAAAGAATGCAATTAGAACAACTAAAGAAGGTAAAGCTACCGAACCAGATGAAGTTCCTGCTGAAATTACTGGATGAAGATAGTCTTGATATTTTAGTGGATTTTTACAACATAATTTACGAAAGTGGTGTAGTTCCTCAAAATATTTTAATGTCTACGCTTATAACAATTCCCAAAAAAGATAATGCAAAAGAATGTGGTTATTATAGAACTATAAGCCTGATGAGTCACGTTTTAAAAATTTTCTTAAGAATAATTCATACAAGAATATATAAAAAATATGTAGAAGATTTAAGCAACACAGTTTGGGTTTAGAAAATCTTATGGAACGAGAGAAGCTATTTTTGCTTATAGAGTTTTGGTAGAAAGAAGTTTAGAGGTTAACAAGGATATATATATGCCTGTTTTATAGACTATGAAAAAGCATTTGATGGAATTCTGCATGATAAATAAATGGATATACTTAGGAAGAATGGAATTGATAGAAATGAATTGCAAATTATAAGAAATCTTTACTGGGAACAGAAAGCCAACATTTTAATTGATTCTGAGTTATCTGAAGAAATAGAAATAAAAAGAGGAGTAAGGCAAGGATGTATTTTATCACCTTTACTTTTTATTATTTATTCAGATGAAATTTTTAATGAAGCTTTAGAAGATACGTTGCAGATACAAAACAGAACAATTGATAGAGTTTCATCAATTAAGTATTTCGGAACTAACATACAGGAAGATGGCAGGTGCATTAAAGAAATTAAATCTAGAATAGAAAATGTGAGGGGTATTTTTATCAGAATGCAGAAATTTTTCAAATGCAATGTTTTTAATTTAAATCTTAAAGTTAGAATGTTAAGGTGATATGTGATGTCAGTTTTGTTTTATGGAGTAGAAATGTGGACCTTAGATAAAAATATGTTAAACGGACTTGAAGTGTTTGAAATGTAGTTATATACCAGAATTTTAAAAATATCTTGGCCAGATAGAATAACAAATGATGAAGTTTTGGAAAGAATGGGAAAAGAAAAAGAAATTTAAATACAGTTAAAAGAAGAAAGATGGGTATTTTGGCCACATCATCCAAGGAAGTAAATATGAAATTTTGAGAAATATTTTAGAGGGAAAAATCTGTGGAAAGAAAAGCCCAGGAAGGAGAAAAAAAGTTGGTTAGGTAATATATGTGAATGGAAAAATAAGAAAGCAGAAGAACGCACACGTGAAGCACAATTGTGATTGTTATAATAATACTAATTCCTACATTNCTTAAATATTTTATCTACGGGAAATACTGTGACGGCTCCATCGTCCCAAGTTTTAAATAATACACAAAACACGCAGGTGACGGCGACGACTTTAAATCAAGTGGCACAGCCGATGCAGGCTCAGGTTTGTTTAAAATAATACTGTAGTAAGTTCCATTAAAATAAGCAACACTTCCTGAATTTATAAAATGTTATATTAAATATTTGTACCCAAGGAAGTAAATATGAAATTTTGAGAAATATTTTAGAGGGAAAAATCTGTGGAAAGAAAAGCCCAGGAAGGAGAAAAAAGTTGGTTAGGTAATATATGTGAATGGAAAAATAAGAAAGCAGAAGAACGCACACGTGAAGCACAATTGTGATTGTTATAATAATACTAATTCCTACATTCAGAAATGAATACGAAACCAGAAGAAGAAGAACCAATATTATTTTTGAATAAAAATGATATTGTCTACTCTGATGAAATTTCATTAGTAAACTTTAAAATATCTGTTATGGTAGCTCTTTATTTGTTCAAACATATATATGTCTCTTTAATCTGAAAATCACAAGAATTCCGGTAGAATCTTACATTACAGCCTTTAGGTCAAGAAGGTACTATCTTACAGCCTTTAGGTCAAGAACATCCTTTATTGAAGGTACAGGTTACATATGCATTTCTGGTTTATTTTATCTTTAAGCCCCTCTTCAGTGCAATGTTAAAAAAATTTTAGAACATTCAGTAATGTAACAATACAACGCATGTAGATTATATCGTTTGACGTAAAAACTATTTTATCATACCAAAAAAGGAGGTTTTCCATGATTTTTTCGTACAAATCTTTCTGCCACACTAATATGACACTTCTGGGTTTTTTACATTATTCACAAATCTTTCATCAATAAACATAAAAAACCATCAAATATAACATATAAATATTTTTATAATACAAGGAAGTTTTTCTACATTCCCTTTAAAATGGGCATATATCATATTACATTAAAATTCTAAACAATCTCTAAAAATTCCTGAAGATACGTTTTTAATCACAAACAGCAGTCTTTGACCAATAAAATTTCACATAATGTTTATAATGAAAGAGGAAAAAAAATATAAAACTGGTGTTGATAAATTGAAAAAAACAGATGTATATAAAATTAATTGTAATTGTCAAAAGATTATATAGGTGAAACAGATAGGAAAAAACGTATCTTCAGGAATTTTTAGAGATTGTTTAGAATTTTAATGTAATATGATATATGCCCATTTTAACGGTAATGTAGAAAAACTTCCTTGTATTATAAAATTAGTTATATGTTAGATTTTATGGTTTATTTATGTTTATTGATGAAGGATTNAAAAAACGTATCTTCAGGAATTTTTAGAGATTGTTTAGAATTTTAATGTAATACGATATATGCCCATTTTAACGGTAATGTAGAAAAACTTCCTTGTATTATAAAATTAGTTATATGTTAGATTTTATGGTTTATTTATGTTTATTGATGAAGGATTTGTGAATAATGTAAAAAAACCCAGAAGTGTCATATTAGTGTGGCAGAAGGATTTGTAAGAAAAAATCATGGAAAACCTTTTTTTTTGGTATGATAAAATAGTTTTCACATCAAAGGATATAATCTACATGTGTTATATTGTTACATTACTGATTGTTCTAAAATTTTTTAGTATAGCACTGATGAAGGGCTTAAAGATAAAATAAGCCCAAAATGCATATGTAACCTGTATCTTCAATAAAGGATGTTTCTGACCTAAAGGCTGTAAGATAGCCTACCAGAATTCTTGTGATTTTTCAGATTAAAGAGACATATATATGTTTTTAGTAAACTTTACTATTTTCTCAGCACTAACACTCAGTTTCTTTGTGTCAATGCAAAGTAAAGTATATTTGTAATGCTAAATAAAATTATTTTTTGAAGTGATTCAGCATATAAAATTTGGATTAAATTAGTATATTTTGATTATACAGTGATTAATTTATGTCCATTAGGGGCAAGCCTGATCCAAACAGGCTGAACCAAGAGGATGAGGAATAGATATATTACTTTAGCAGGAGGTAGGTGGTTAGGCTGCCTTCTCTTATCAAATTTAATAATTATCAATAAATTATTAGGTATGTTATTTTAATTCAAGTTATGACTGTTTACTTTAGATTCAAATCTGGGTCTTTATGACAGAACCTAGGTGCAAATTCAAGCAGATAACTAGAGGATAATCTTATTTCTTAACCACTCCATATTGAAATAACTGAATAGTAATAGAAATCAATGAGTTGATTCAACTTAACTAGGCCATCTTGTGACTTTGTCTTATCACAATAGAATTGAGGTGGAGCCGGAAAGAAAGAAGCTATCCCTGCATTTGTTAGGAACAGAAGAGGGAATCCTTATACCTGCTGGCTATGAGAGTCACAATTCTTACACTGGCTGGGCACAGAGAGACTATCCTTGCACTTGCTGACATGAAGAGAGAAAGAACAAAGCAATCCTCATCAATTGCTTTGTTCATTTTTTGCACCTATTTCTGTTAGGTGCATGCAATACTGTTTTTATTTTTAACCCCTAGATCAAAATTTTGTTAGGCATGCTCAGTCGCATCAGAGTGCAAGGACATTGTTGGTTTAACTCCTCCGTATATCAAAAACCCCTCAATCCCTATTTTTTACATTTAAATGAACCCTCATTACATGTTTTGATTCCTCACCTCAAATAATGGAAAATGGCAAAGTTTTATCAAAATCAGTAGAACGGATTTTGAGAATAAACAATTCTGTAAGCATCATAGAAGAGACTTTGCTAACATTCCACCTCAAATATTTTTTTGAATATTTATATGCTGTTAAATAAAATGGACAATCAAATATAATGTCATTAAATTTTAGCTTTGATAAGATATTTTTTTAAAAATAAGGCATTAACTCATTATTTTAGGCATTGCTACGGTAGCAGTAACAGATGAAGATGATGTATTTCAGTGTGGAAAATGCAAGAAACAGTTTACTTCCTTAAGCTTCTTCATCGACCACAAGAAAGAACACTGCTTAAATATTTTATCTACGGGAAATACTGTGACGGCTCCATCGTCCCAAGTTTTAAATAATACACAAAACACGCAGGTGACGGCGACGACTTTAAATCAAGTGGCACAGCCGATGCAGGCTCAGGTTTGTTTAAAATAATACTGTAGTAAATTCCATTAAAATAAGCAACACTTCCTGAATTTATAAAATGTTATATTAAATATTTGTACTAAAATCAAAGACTAAATAGTATAGAATTTACTAAACATTTAAAAAATTATTGTTTCTTTAATGAATGAAATTTTAATTTTACAATATAATAAGTGAAATGTTTTTTACAAATTTTCTAAAAAATGATATTTAATATTTATTTTCTAAATAGAAATAATCTTTTTCTAATAGGTCCCAACTTCTCAACTGACTACTCTTGCTCCAAATATGGTTCTGAGTGAAGCTGACCTGTTATCATTGACAAATATTGAACAAAGTATTGCTACAATTGCGAGTTGTCCTACAATCCAAACAGTAACTACCGTTACCAATAATCCACAACTTCAACATATTAATCTTATTGGCCAGTCGTCGTCGTCATCACATTCAGTGGATCAGATACATCAGAATCAGTCTACTCCACAGATTCAAGCCCATGCAGTCGGCTTATCTCTTCTTACAAATACTTTTGTTTCTACGCCTTTATTTGTAGGTAGTCAGACAAGTCCTAATCCTAATAATGTGTCAGGTATGGTTGTCAGTCTAGGAAATCCTTCGTTAAACAAGGATACAATCTTATCTCCAGTGAACAGTAATTCCAGTAACAAGCCCGAAAGTTCGGACCAGTTACTAACTGAAATGACTCAGTCGCAGAATCATGAAATTTCTTCAAAAAATTCAAGTCAAGATGATGATTCTATAAATGTGGCAAATGAATTACAGAATAATCAGTCTAAACCCAGGAAACGTGTAAATAATAATTCTGAATTAGCAGAAAATGGATCAAAAAAAGTAAGACATATATTTTTTAATTTATGCAGAACTTTAGTTAGTTTTCTGCTATTTTATGAAATGTTTTACATCAGTTCTCATTATAAGAAAAATTATTATTATTCAAAAATATTTTGCTTAATTGGAGGCTTATTTTGCCTTATTGCCATACATAATTTCTGAAAATATATAAATAAAAGTATATTGTGTTTTCATATTCTGTTGATCTAAGCAGAAAAATCTAGAAAATATGTTTTCTCCATAATCTTTGAATCTGTATATTTGTTTTTATGTTAATTCTATCAGTCATTTTGAAGTAGGTGTAGATTTGTAGGGATTTAAATTAGCAGCATTATGATTTAGTATTGTTATCTTTATCTACTGTAAGTACTTCGTAAGCAGTAGCATATTTTCAGAATGCAAAAGTTTTTACTTTTGGTTCTTATTCAAGTATTTTTACTGATTAATTAAATTAAATTTTTAAAAATATTTTAAATTATTTAAACATTAATATTAAAAATAAAAGATCAGTATCAATATTTTAATACTTTTCAGACTTTCTGAAGGCAATAAATTAATAATTCAACAATATAGACAGTTGTATCATTTATTTCTGATATTAATGTTTAACTAATGTTGAGATAAAATCACTACTATATTTAGATGAAAGAAAAAGATATCTGTAAAAAAATTAATTAATAGACAAATTGTGATCAAACTATAAAGAAATATATATGAGGTAGGATCAATTCAGGGACTTGGAATATGGTTCTTTGCCTTGAATAGTTTAAAATGATGACACACAACTATCTTTAAAATAATCCTCATAGGTAATGATACACTTTTGTCAATATTCATATAGCTTCTGGAATCACTGCTACAAGATTTCTTTTGCAACTACTTGTAATGCCTCTTGCAATGCTGTTTTTATCTCATTTGATGACTCAAAACTTGGACTCCCTAGATATTTTACATTGTTTGCATGTTTTTGTCCATTGTAAACAGCCTGAGATGTCACAAAATGGACAATGATACCTTCTCCATGACAATGTGCCTGCACATCGGTCCATAACGGTCACTGAATTTCTTGCCAGAAATGGTACTAATGTGCTTCCACATTCTGCTTACTCACCTAACTTAGCTCCTTGTAGTTTTTACCTCTTTCTACTGATGAAATAACATCTGCAGGGACATCATTTTGAGTCATCAAATGAAGTAAAAGCAGCATCACAGGAGGCATTACAGGTAGTTGCAAAAGACTGTTTACAGCAATATTTCCAGAAGCTGTATGAACATTGGTAAAAGTGTATCGTTGCCCAAGGGATTATTTTGGAAGATGGTTGTACATTTGTGTTTTAAACTATTCAAGGCAAGAAACTATGTGCCAAGTTCTTGAATTTTTGGATCCTACCATGTTGTGTGTTAATAAAATAAATGCTGAAACTTGTGGATTAGTTTTCTGAGGTAAAAATTAATAGAAAATATAATGGAAATTTTTGCAAATTCTGTTTCATTAATGAGATATTAACTGTTAAATGTCTATAATTCGATAATAGCTGCAAAATAACAATGTAATGCTAACTTATTTATTCTCATGGTCTAATGAATAAAAGAATGAAATTTTTTTTGAAAAATAATTGAAGAGAAAATATTAAAATCAAATCTTCAGCATTATAGTCTGTGATGTCCCAGACAGGTCCGAACCATCACAAAATTTGCAAAAATTTAGTTGATTGGGAGAAAAAATTATGGCAAGAAAAAATGTTTGTAGTTGGACACTCTTTTGTTTGTTAAAATGTGATGCAGAGTCATAAATCTTAGAAGGAATGTCGTCTTATGATTGACATTTCTGGTTGGGAAATCAAATTCAGCTTTGAGTTTGACCTTGCCTGTGCTCCGAGTTGGGATCCCGTTACGCTTAGTAACAAGGGAATGACCTTGGAAAGCATGGATGAGGGAAATCAACCAATCAGAATGACTGATCAAAACATGGAGATTCATATAATCCCCGATATACAAGGTCACATTGTACTCATACTTAGTCAGTTAACACGCACATAGAGTGTCAACACATTGGAGAGGCAGTTGCTCCTCAACTAGGAAATTGCTACCTGTGCACACCTCTTGGAGCTGCAGACCCGTCTCCCGCTTTGCTCCAACTCTGTGAATGCTAAGTGCTGATTGACGTCTGTCCACCTTTAGTCTGTCTGACTGCAGCCTTCTCACACCTGCCCTGGGGCTAATGATCTACTTCAAGAGCATCAGGAACCCAAGTGATGATCCTTAGGACTACATCCTTACAGACTTAACTTCCCCCTCTACATTTTTTGATTCAGTTTTTCTTCCAAGAATTTAATACTCAGGTTTTGGTACTTAACTTAAAAAACATCATGTATAAAAGAATAAAAAGACTTTGACATTTAAATTTTGTCATAAATCATAATTGATAGTTTATCTAGAAAGATTTGCTTAAAAAATATTTTAATCATTATCTTTGCATCCAGTAGAGATGATAAGTTTAATGGATTTTTTTGAGCTGTGGGGAGAGAAATTATTGAAAATTTGCTCTTATCCAGCCTTTTACACTTGCATTTACAGATATATGTTTTTTTCAATCCAGTTTTTAAAAAGATATCTTTTCAGTGAATTTTACAAGATTATAAAACATTATCTAAGATTAAATTCTGTTTAAAATTATCTGATCATCAGAAAAAAGTTTTTTATTGTAACCTACAAGTCCCAGTTTAAAAGTCACATTGCAACAAAATTAGCATTAAAATAGCCTGATTGATTTTCGGCATTCGGTTGGTGTGTTACTATATTTGATATCGGGTTTGGAGATGTTTATTTATTTAAAATGTTTTTATTGATGCATGTGCAATAGCTTGAATAATTGAAGTGTTTTAGTGTTTTCTTTTCAATTATTTGTTTTATTTTAATATAAATGTCCCAGTTTTAAAACATTTTCTTTTACAATTTTTTTTTCTAAATCATACTACTGTGATCAAAAAGTATTGGGAATGGTTCATTTAAACTGCACACATGCAAGAGGGCACTGTCATTATTTCTTTTGTTGTTTGATATGACTTTCATCAGCATCTAGCAGCAATCCTTACATCATCATCTGCTTTCATTTACAAATAAATGTTTGCTTTGTGTGTCAAGAATTTTTCTGTCTGCAATTTTTCAAAATGTCGAGTGTAATTGAGCAAAGAATGTGCATTCAATTTTGTTTTTACAATAGAATTACTGCTACAAAAACTTTGGAAATGTTGCAGAAAACATTTGGTGATGATTTTCTATTAGAAACAAGAGTTTTTGAATGGTACAAGATATTCAAGGAAGGCAGAGAATGCATTGAAGATTAACCATGCTCTGATAGACCATCCACTTCAACTGATGAACAACACATTGCTCAAGTCAGAGATTTGCTGCTCAATAATTGTCTTTAACAATTAGGGATGTTATTTAACATGTTCTGGTATCATTTGAATTTTGTCAAGCAGTTTTAAAAGATCAGTTTGGTTTTGAAGCACATTACTTCTCAAGTCATTCCAAAAACAACAATGTGTTTGAATGGTTGAGAAAATGTTTTCTCATGTAGAATCATTCTTAAAATGCATCATTACAAATGGTGAAACATGGATCTACACCTTTAACACTGAAACAGCTTGACAATCAAGTGAATGGCACTCCAAAGGTGAAGTAAGACCAAAAAGACCACATCAAAGTCAGTCAATAATCAAGGTTGTGTTGATTGTTTTCTTTGATTGTCATGGTGTTGTGTGTGTCAAATTCTTCCAACTAGCCAAACTATCAACAAAGAATTTTATATCATTTGTGTGAAGCAATTTGTAGAAAATGACCCAATTTGTGGTGAGAAAAGTCATGGATTTTGCATCACGATAATGCACCTGTTTATGATGCTCTTGCTATTTTTGAAATTTTGGCCAAAAATTCAGCAAATACATTTCCACCAGCTCCATATTCATCTGACATGGCACCATGAGACTTTTTTCCTGTTTCTTCAAGTAAACTTTCTGCTTTAAGGTCATCATATTGAGTTGATTGATACCATAAAACAAAATTTGCTGTGAGTCCAAAGGGGTTTCCTGAAAATGACTTTAAAGCATGTTTCAAGGATTGGGAAAAACATTGGCATAAGAGCATTGCAATGGAAGGAGACAAAGTAAATCTTGATGAATAAGTTTGAATCTTGTGTTTTATTGAACCATTCCTTATACTTTTTGATTGAAGTATTAATCTAAAGATTTCTTATAGTTTATATTATTTACTGTTTCAAAAGTTTCAACCAAATGGTAGTCATCTTTTGTAATTTACTTTAAAAAAACCTTAATATTTTCTGTTAATTATTAACTGGTTTTCATAAAGTAAATAATAAATACATAAAAATTTCCACTGGTTTACATAAAAAAAATATATAAAAATATTTATGAATCTCACTTTTTTGTGGTTCTGTAATCAACAGTGAGTCAACAATCAGATTTGTTGAGACTTGTACAGGGCTCAAGGTAGAGTGGGTCTCTTTTGCCATTCTTATCTTTGAACAAATGAAATAAGTAGAATGTTTCTTTATTAATTAAAAGAAGTCTTATATTATTATTTTTGTTAGTAAAAAAAATTACATTAATTTATATGAACAGAAACGAATCTGAGGCTAGGGAAAAATACCCAGTTCTTTCCCTCTTGTTGGTTCTGTCTGTAAGATAATTCACAATTGAAATTATATCCCATTTTTCAGATTGCCAATGAATAACTCCCTTTGGTTATTGTCTATCTACTCAGTTTAGAGAAAAGATAAAATCACAAGGTCTGACTATTTTACAAAAATTAAATAAAAATACAATGAACTATATTGCATACAATACTGGAAATAGAGCTTTGATTTGCCTTTAGATTATTCTGTCATTGAAAGGGCCAACTTTAGGGAAGAATTTATCAAATTTAATATAATGTCTGGTTCAATTTATTCTAAAAAAGTTGTATTTTGCATAGCTAAAGAATAAAAGCTAATACAGAGCTCCTTATGATCACCCAGTACGCAACTCAGCACAGCTACTCTCCACATACTATTAAAGGCTTTATACGTCGTCTTTCCTCTGCCACTTCTGTCTTGCCAATAAATTGCACCCAGGACACAGTTTATAGAACCATCATTTATGACAGGAAGCTAGCCTCCCTTTACAGTAAAATATCCAAGAAAAATAACTTTTGTTTACTCTTCTGTAGAAGTCCTTCAATTTCCTTCCTCTTCCACAATGCTAAAGACCTTCCAGACATCCAATCTGGCATTTACACTATCCCCATCAATGATCATAGATTTAGCCACCACTTAGAATACATAGGTGCTACAAAAGCTCCCTTTAAACATCCATCTCAAGGAACATCAGACATTTATCATGAAAGGATTGGCCAACACAGCATTGGTTATCTATGCCTCTGACATTGATATTGAATTTGAAAAGGTATGCCTCTTACTTAGATCTTCCAGGCAACCCTTTCTCAAACATCATGAGCAGGTGGAAATATATAGGGTAACTCACAATAACACCGCTATTAATTTTCGCAATGTTGACTTCTACTCGTATCCCATAGCATGAAAGTCTTTTTTTGAACTGTAAATCTTGCTATCCTTCCCCTCCCTTTTGTCTTATGTCATTTCCTTTCTGCACACGTGTATTGAAATCTCTTGTTTGTTTCAGCAGTTGAGGATTAGTTAGCCTGATGATACCTGTTCAACATGGGTGAAAATGTTTGCCCTTACTATAAAAATTGCTGGAGAATAGGTTTTAGTATTTTTAATTCAAGTATAACCAGTTTTGATTGGCAGTAATATAAAAGCTAATTATGTTTAAATTAATTAATTAGCAAGTTAAGTATATTTGATGAGTATTTGCCTTGCTTATACAATATTTGGATGGAGTAGTTGATTGGACCTGGAAATAATGTAAATAGCTTAAATTTGGGCTCTGTACATAAATTTGTTTTGTTTATTTGTCCTAAGTAAGAGCAAGATCCTATTCATTACTAAACCAATTTGTTTTTACAAAAATTAAACAAAAATCAATGAATAAAACAGCTAAGTCATTGGTTAATTATAAAAACTAATAATATTTTGGGAAATAAAACTTAAATTATTTCTTTATAATTAATTATGATGCAAGAAAAAGTAATTGAATGGTTTTTTAGTATACTGAAATCTAAAGATATTTTAAATGATTGTAGATTTTAAGTTATCAGTTTTCTATATTTGCTAATCATTTTAACAATTTAAAGTATGTTTTTTTAATACATAGGTTTGGCCTGATGGATTAGCACATACATTGCCAAAACTGTCATATTCTGATGAAGAAGAAACAAACAGTGTTCCTGATGGAGTGAATAATGAATGCTATCAAACAAAGAAGAATGTAAGAGTAAATTTGGATTAATATAATTTTTAGTGTATGGAACTATTACATTAAATAAGAAAGTTTACTGTAATTTAAGTTTTCAAAGCATCATGTGGTAAAGTGAAATCCAATACATACATAGTGTAGAGAAAATCTAGAAAATTAATCATTATCAAAATACAATTTATTATATATTCATTTGCCACATAAATTATAATTTGATACATTAATGAATTATCTAGTTATATTTATAATTTAAGAGCTATTTATTTGATTAGAAAAAAATGGTAGTAGTACTATACATGAAAAGGATCTTGGTTATTTGTCATAAAGGAACACACATTTAAAATAGAATTGTTATTTTAGATTGGAATAAATTTGGATCTACTGTTTGTGGTTACAAAAATTCTACAGTAGAGTCCTGCTAATCCAAATGTCCACCTAATCCAAATATGTTTTGGTCAGCAGAAAGAAAATTTTCTTGAACAAGAAGTCCACATAGGGGTGTTCCCCTTTCTCTTTCCTGAGTGAACCACGTGAATAGGGCTTCATCACGCTTGTCAAACGTTAAGGGCCTTGCTGTTTGTCGATTTTCAACTGTTTTCCTGAAGTAGAGGCACAAAACTGTTCAATCTTTGTGCGGTTTTTTTAGTCTGTTATTGTAGCCTTTCCCNAAAGATCTGTTTATGATAAAACATGTGACTGCATGATTATGTTGGATAATTTGGTCAATATTGAAATATTAAGCTTTTTTTCATAAACAAACTATCGCCACGAATTTGTCCAAAATTGATTATGACTGGTATTTTGCCCTTTTTAAGTCTTCCTAATGATATAAATATTCAAGAAATTCAAATTATTAAAGAAAGACCCAGAATACAAGAAAATGATGCAGATAAGGATTCATTTGAATAAAAGGATTTATTTGAGTAATGGTTAATTGAGTTACTTTAATTATTTAGCAAAACAGTCATGATTGTTGCCTTCTCCTTAATTAAGTTGGCCATCATGAAAAGTGCCCTTTCAATGGAAACGTTTTTTTTTTTTCTATAAAACATGACGTCAGATCATTCAATGGAGGGACTCAATGGAAAATTCACTGTTGAGTCAACCATTGAATATAGAAACATAAGGACTACCAAGAACTTTGTCCAATTATCAGTTTTAGAATAATTTTACATATAATCATATTATATCTTTATTTTATTTAACAAGAGATAGTAGCCTGGATGTCTTCTCTACTGCCAGTTTGCTAAGTAATTATTTAGTCTTATAGCCCAATAAGGAATTCAGCTATTCATTTGGTATTTATAATTACAGCTCTCCCTTGATAGTCTGACGTTTTTTAATTTGACATGCTCAGTAGTCCAATGCACCTCCCGTCAAGGTACCCGTCCCCGTTACGTGTCTGCTTGCACAGAAGCATGTCACGACGTGAATCTCCCCATCCAATTTTTACATGATGACACACATTTCGTGTGTTTTCTGTGAGCAGTTCTGTTTGAACAGTTGGAGTAGGGAATATTGTAAGCTACTGCTAGCAAAACAATGCAAAATAGTAATTATTTTTGGTAATCCGGACACTTTTGGTAATCCAACACCCCTTTGGTCCCATACCTGTCGGACTATTAAGGGAGAGCTGTACTATTGGATTAGTTATATTTATTATATATGTATCTACATGCATTGTACTATACATTACATATCATTATCTAGCCATAGCAAAAGACTTTATCCAGTTACAGAATCTTCATTATATTCTCTGAGCAGTGCTGGATGCTTTGACTAGTATATTACATTTAAATTATTATCATGGCCATAAATGTAAATGTTTTATAATATTCACATGTAAATCACTTTCTCTGTACCAGTGATTCCTAAAGTGTGATCTGTAACTTGTCATGGGACAAACACAAGTCTGCATATATTTTTTTTGATCTGCTGGTTAGAGCTTAATGGGATATTAATAAAATTATAGTTTTGCTATTGTTAAAAATTCTGTTATTTTATATTACATATTAATTTATGATTGAAAATTTTAAAAATGTGTATTATCTTGCAGGTGTCAAAATTAAAATGCAGCTATTGTGATAAATTATTCGGCAAGAATTTTGATCTGCAGCAACACGTTCGATGTCACACTGGAGAAAAACCATTTCAGTGTATTGTTTGTGGACGTGCATTTGCCCAGAAGTCAAATGTTAAAAAGCACATGCAGACTCACAAGGTAATGAAATTAAATATAATAATTGAATAAATGTAATTGCCATTTAATGATTTTTGGTTGTCTTATAGGCATCTTATTCTAATTTAGAATAATTGTAGTGTAGAATGATAGAAAATATAGCAAAATCTACCAGTACATTAACACTCCAAAGTTTAAGTAAAACATAAAAGTATTGTTTTATAATAATTAAAACTGAAACAAAACAATTTTCATATTTTTGGGCTTTTTAGGTCTGTCTACAAGAGGTAAAACATACAAATGTTTGAATATATTTCAATTTTCTGAATGTTTTAGGCCCCTGAAGATTATAGAATAAGAAGATTATATCTAAGAATTCTGAAAGTACTAGAATAGTTTTCTGATCTTTTTAAAACTTGAAATATTTTTTTAAAAATTATATTTAAAAAACACTTCCTAGAAGAACTTTCCTTTTCTTCCTATGCCAATTTCAAATTGAGTCAATTAAAATCCGGAACACACTATTAACAGAAAAATGCTTTTATTGTTACCTCTGAAGTTTTTGCTTTCAGATGCATTTTGGATAACCACAATTATTTTTAGCACATCCATTTTGCATTGAATGTTGTCCCAGCATGTGTCTACCATCATATATCTATTTAAATTAATGTTGTTATCATAGTTGATTATTGAATAATGTTCTTTAATTCTTCCTCTTATAATATTTGTGGTTTTTGTGTTTTTTCAAGTAAATGGCTTTAAAATTTCCAAAAAGTTTAAAATTTGGAAATACAATTGAACCTGTCTATCTCAATCATGTTTAACTTGAAATTTATTTTTTTCCCTGTTATTTTCAGCCTAAATTTAATATATTTTCCATGTTTATTGCAAATAATTTTCTCCCAAAACCTTTATATTTCAAATTACAGATTGAAGTGTTGATTACAAATTCAAATCTTAGTGACTACATTTTGATAGCATAAATTGCAGTTAAGAAAAATCTCTTGCATTACAGTAAATAGTTGCAATTAATGCCATTTTTATCTAATTGGCTACGAATTTGGCATGTAACTTATTTGTTGAAGAAAGTCAGGCATCAGAAACTATTGGCAAACTATTTCTGTTAAGGTCTGTAAAAATGTTTTATTTATACCTAATACAGGTATGTACTGTACTATACATACTATTGTATTAATACAATGCTGCATCTCCAATCAAACTGATTACTGTTTACTCTGTAGAAACCTCTTTATCTCAAAACCTGTCTATCTTGAATTTGTTTCTTTTTCCTAAGACTCAAGATAGACATGTTCAACTGTAGGATAAAATTGTCAAAATCTAGCATTATGGAAACTAACTCCTACCTGAACTGAAATGGAATAATTTAATTAACAGTTTGAATAAAAAAGATACTAAAATCATTTTTATAATAATTAAGAATCTTTCTAATTTTAAGAAATAATTTTATATTAATGTTATATAATTATGATATAATTATAACTGTAATTCATAATTAAACTTATATTATAGTTTACACTGATTAATGTATGAGGGATGATCAAAAACTATGGTTACAAAGCCTGCAGTAAAAAGTGCACATTTTATTTCATACAACCAATACAGCCAACTGATAGTACTGATAGCCAACTGAGTAGATTAGGTTATTTTTTGACAGTCTCCATATCGGTTTAGGCACTTGTCACTTCGTGTGATGAGTTTGAAAATTCCCTCCTGGTAAAAATCCTGTCCTTGCGTGTTCAGCCAAATTGTTGCAAAGTATTTTACTTCCTCGTCTGAAGCGAATCGTTGTCTTGCTACATTCTCCTCCTGTTGTCCTGAATCAGATCATCCACACGAGCTGTGTTGACATCTGTTGATGCCGTGCTGGGTCAGCCATTGCGATCCTTGTTGGTGATGTTTTCTCTACCAGCCACAAACTTCCAACACCATTCTACAACATGCTGACGAGACATTACAGTCTCTCCGTAAACCTCTACCAGCTGCTGGTGAATTTCAGCTGTGGTTACGTGTTTCGCCCCAGAAATCGAATAACTGAGTGGATTTCTTTTGCGAGACCAGTTTTTCAAACGAGTCACCATTTGTGTTTACCTATAACTAGCACTGTAGGTGGCAGGTGGCTGAAACTCTGTACAGTTGCCAACTGCATATATTGGAATTACCACGCATTTCTCTATAACAAATGAAACTCCAGGAATAGTGGCCTTGTAACCTTAGTTTTTGATCAGCCCTCGTAATCAGTATCTATGCTTACACTTAAATTTAATCAGTGTAAACTAGCAATTAAAATAATCGTTGAAAAGAATGTTACTAAATAACACATATCTTGATTATCATAAATGACACACAGTAGTTAGGCTGTGTTTCTTTATGCAGAGAGAGAGTAGCAAAAATGACAATACGATCAGCTATCGCTACACATCACTGCATCATAGTTTAGAAAAGCTTTCTGCTCAAGTGAAAAATAGATGCCGTAATCTATCCTTTAATTCCAGTTACAGCCGAAAGTAGTGCTTTAAAGAACTGCAATATTTAAATAAAGAGATATAAAGAATTGAGCATTTCTTTTTCCAAAAATATGAACAAAGAGAGAGGAGATGTATAATTATATTTAAAATATAGTATTTTCGTATTCTTTAGATAACTTTCAGAGTCATTTTATAAAATTTAATCCTTCTTAACCTTTCCATAATATTTTTATTAACAGTCACTTCGATTCTTTTATTTTTACAGCATAATATCATATTATACACACAAGCATCCATTTTGCTTTACACATGTAGCAGACATAAAAGCTGCTTTTTTTTTTCTGCATCAACCTCTTGCAGCAAATGTTTAGAAACGGTTCACTATGTTGCAGTGCTGCATTTAGAAATGGGTTTCGGAGTGGTCGCTGTAAAGTGCTTCTCGAGCACTACATAAAGAAACGTGGCCATATTGTTGAGATGTTTCAAAGGTCAGTCAATGTATATCCAAAAATGTATTCTAAAAATACTAGGAAATTATATAAGAAATAATAAATGTAGCTTTTTTGAATCAAAATTGAAATTAAACATTAATCAAGTAANTCCCATAGCATGAAAGTCTTTTTTTGAACTGTAAATCTTGCTATCCTTCCCCTCCCTTTTGTCTTATGTCATTTCCTTTCTGCACACGTGTATTGAAATCTCTTGTTTGTTTCAGCAGTTGAGGATTAGTTAGCCTGATGATACCTGTTCAACATGGGTGAAAATGTTTGCCCTTACTATAAAAATTGCTGGAGAATAGGTTTTAGTATTTTTAATTCAAGTATAACCAGTTTTGATTGGCAGTAATATAAAAGCTAATTATGTTTAAATTAATTAATTAGCAAGTTAAGTATATTTGATGAGTATTTGCCTTGCTTATACAATATTTGGATGGAGTAGTTGATTGGACCTGGAAATAATGTAAATAGCTTAAATTTGGGCTCTGTACATAAATTTGTTTTGTTTATTTGTCCTAAGTAAGAGCAAGATCCTATTCATTACTAAACCAATTTGTTTTTACAAAAATTAAACAAAAATCAATGAATAAAACAGCTAAGTCATTGGTTAATTATAAAAACTAATAATATTTTGGGAAATAAAACTTAAATTATTTCTTTATAATTAATTATGATGCAAGAAAAAGTAATTGAATGGTTTTTTAGTATACTGAAATCTAAAGATATTTTAAATGATTGTAGATTTTAAGTTATCAGTTTTCTATATTTGCTAATCATTTTAACAATTTAAAGTATGTTTTTTTAATACATAGGTTTGGCCTGATGGATTAGCACATACATTGCCAAAACTGTCATATTCTGATGAAGAAGAAACAAACAGTGTTCCTGATGGAGTGAATAATGAATGCTATCAAACAAAGAAGAATGTAAGAGTAAATTTGGATTAATATAATTTTTAGTGTATGGAACTATTACATTAAATAAGAAAGTTTACTGTAATTTAAGTTTTCAAAGCATCATGTGGTAAAGTGAAATCCAATACATACATAGTGTAGAGAAAATCTAGAAAATTAATCATTATCAAAATACAATTTATTATATATTCATTTGCCACATAAATTATAATTTGATACATTAATGAATTATCTAGTTATATTTATAATTTAAGAGCTATTTATTTGATTAGAAAAAAATGGTAGTAGTACTATACATGAAAAGGATCTTGGTTATTTGTCATAAAGGAACACACATTTAAAATAGAATTGTTATTTTAGATTGGAATAAATTTGGATCTACTGTTTGTGGTTACAAAAATTCTACAGTAGAGTCCTGCTAATCCAAATGTCCACCTAATCCAAATATGTTTTGGTCAGCAGAAAGAAAATTTTCTTGAACAAGAAGTCCACATAGGGGTGTTCCCCTTTCTCTTTCCTGAGTGAACCACGTGAATAGGGCTTCATCACGCTTGTCAAACGTTAAGGGCCTTGCTGTTTGTCGATTTTCAACTGTTTTCCTGAAGTAGAGGCACAAAACTGTTCAATCTTTGTGCGGTTTTTTTAGTCTGTTATTGTGGCCTTTCCCATTCCAAACCCTAATGCCAATTTCATTGCACTTTCACCCTTGTCCATCCTTTTCAAAATGTTCAACGTGTATCTTTCAACATACACATTGTGTGTTTTCGTTTCATGGCCATTAGATTAAACTGAACTAAAATAATGAAGAGCAAAGAGTACATTCAACATCCACAAGTAAGTGTGCTAACTCGCACAGTAACATCAGTCAACTGATTGGAATCCTGGACTGTGTATTAAAAACAGCATTTTTTACAGTTAAAATAATTTTAAGGTAAACAATGAAACCATTTCAAAATTACAAAACTTATTTTTTTTAACTGTTTGCACTGTCTATTGAGTACAAGTCAGATGAAATAAACGGTAGGATGCTGACTTCATTGATGGTGTTGGATCTATATAAACCAGACCGGTTTTACTGCTTGCTTCTGCGTTATTTCAGTTATTTGACTAATTCGAACAGGGCTTGGTCTGAATTAGTTCGGAGTAGTGGGACTCTACTGTATTTGTCACAACCAAATTACAGATAAAGGAACATAATGTGACGTAGTGAGGTAAGATTTTTTAAAATTGTAATTTTGAAACTTATATCAATATCATGTTACTTTATCTAGTGTTTTATTTTTGTGTACAATTTGATTTTGACATTATTGCTTTATTGTAACCACAAAAAGTAGATTTGAATTTGTTCCATTCTGTAATAACCTTGTCCTGTTTTGAATGTGTTGTTCCTGATGATAATCTTGAATTTTTTTTTTGTATATGTCAAGTTTTCATTTTTACTTTACCAACTATAATATATATTAGAGGGAAGGTATGACACAATCAGTCAAAAAATGGCCACCCAAGAGTTTTAAATTCTTGGATTCATGACCTTGAAACATCAAGAAATGCAAAAAAATTTGGAGGGGTTTTTTGTATGTATGGGTGGTATGTTTGAAGCTTAATAACTCCTGTGCCTTTTTCAAAAATATCTGAAATTTTGCATTTGAGGTTTGTATATTGGGAATTGATGCTATTAATATATAATGCAAATATACTTTTTACACATACATAGTAAATTATTTTAATGAAAGTGTTATCACACAAATGAAGCTATTAATGCCTTATATATCTCTTAAAATGCATTTCAGCCTCTGGTGTTAATGGCCCTCATCAGCTAGGATCTTTTAAACATAAGGCAAAAAAGGGCTAAAACTGATCCTAATATTAAGAGTATTTTTCCTGAGCTGTTTTTTTATCCCTTATTCTTAATTTTTTCCTTTTTTTTCCTATATGTGACATCATCTTACATTAATAGAAAAATAGCGCACTCTAGCAATTGCATGGCACAAAAATACCAGTACATTTGTTGTAATGAAATGACGTCACTGCTAATCAGCATTACACCTTCACTCTGCTCATCAAATAGTCTGTGTTTTAGTTTCTTGTAAAAAAAAATAGAAATAGTGATCATAGAGAAATATCCCCTTAGGTAGGTAAGTAGCACATGTTTAACTAACTACCAAATAAATGTTAGTACTAAGTATTACATGAGTTGCATGTAGTGATGTTCATCTTGTTAATTACACTTTATCAATTTTTATGGTCTTTCCGAGTCTTGGGACGAGTCTCTGTTATCGTCTTGATACGAATACAGTCGCAATTTTTTCACATCAATATACGAATCTGCATTATATGAACCCGCGTTATAGGGGGTCTACTGTAATTATTATTGTAGCCTAAAAATAATCTGATTTATTGAGTGCTCCACACTTTTATTTTTGGTCACACAATACCAAGAATACTGTGAAAGTTGGGAAAACATTATTTTTTACTTTTTAGTGCATTTATATGAATAAAGTGTTTCTTTAAAACTTTTTAAAAATATTTTTTATTCTAGTAATGGATTCAATGTTCTGTTTTGAATATACGTTTTGCTGTAAGATGTCTGCTGCTGTTGAAACACTTCATGTCAATGAATGCAATGTTGTCTCTTGTATGGATAGAACAAGAGTTTGATATAAGATAATTAGTAGAGTTATATATTAAAAATAAATTTATATATATTTATATTTAATGTAGATGAAATTAATTCTATAAATCAGTGTAATTTTTCTTAATGCACTGATTAAGTTCTCATGATTACAGTAATCAAATAAATTTGTTTGTTTATAAGTTTTTTCGCAGAGATTTAGATGTAAACATAAAATATATACAGTCAACCCCCCTATAACACGGTAGATATGTTCCACTTTATACAAATTTTGCGTTGTAGGAATCCTCAAATACATGAGCCAATCACAGCCCGGACCCATGCAGTTTACGGACTACGGCTGTTTGAAAGGTTTTCTTCCATAAAATTAATCGATTCTAGACTAATTTGACTCAACATTTCCAAAACATGTATAATTTTTTGGGAATAATCTGTATAAACTATGCTATAAACAAAAAATTGTAGGATTACTTACCAAGTGTGCACTGTTCGATGACGCCATTGCTTAAGCTTGTGTTCGTCGCGGAGCAGCGCACCAAATGGCAGGCGCATTTTCTGATAAGTTATTTTTCTGCAAAAAATTCGTTGAACTTTGGAGACATCATTACTAGAAATAATTTTTATGGCCGTTGAATAAGAAATGTTTTTTTCACAAGAAATTTTTAAAATTACAGTACTGTATTAGACTTACAGTACCTAATTTATATACTGTACAGACAATAGTAAATTCAACTTACCTACCTAAACTCTCCATAGCGTGCAAATAGTTCGGCTGCTCGTCCACTATTGGTCCAGATTCGACCAATCCTGTCGCGACACGAGTCAGCGATGACATTTTACCTCATTTTACGAGTCTCTGTTATCGTCTTGATATGAATATGGTCGCAATTTTTTCGCCGCAATATACGAATCCGCATTATATGAACCCGCGTTATAGGGGGTCTACTGTAATTATTATTGTAGCCTAAAAATAATCTGATTTATTGAGTTATTTGAGGATTATGTATTATATCAAGCTAATCAATGGAGTCTTTGCTAAAGACCTCTTTATTTTTAATTATAATAAATTTGACAGTTATAAATTTTATTAATAGTTATACAAATTAAATTTCTTTGTGGAATTTTACTGAGTTATTTAAACTTTATTGAAAGTAAATTAAAAACAAATTAATTAATTACTTTTTTTTATTATTATTTTACAGTAGAAATTTGTTAATCTGAATATCTATGGAATCAGAGTGGTGCCAGATTATCAAAAATACATATTATGGCACCAGGCATTTTTGTATTTTCACAAAATTGTGGTTTAAACATTGCCAACATTGCCATACCAGCACATGCTACTATATGCTTCCTATTTCTTTATTTCTTTTTAATTAGTCTAAGGAGGATACAGTACATGACTATGCTATGTTAAGATTGATTGAAAAAACTGCAAAAAAACATTAGTCAACATGTTATTGCACAAAGTTAATATTTATAATAATTCATGTGCATGTACTAGGGTTTCTCCATCCAGATCCGGGAAATCCAAGAAATTGTTTTTTTAACTGGGGAAATTCTTCTCATCCGGTAAATCCCGCAAATTTCTTAAAAATTCATTTTTTTTTCTTATTTTATATTAAAGTTGAGGAAATTTTGCAAATAGAAAGTATAATTAACCCATAAACTGTCAGAATACATCTATATTTATTAATTTTAAGCCTGCTTATTAGTTTTTAAAATTTTTACTTTTTATGACATGTCACAGATTGTCAATAATCAATATGTAGCCTATTTGTGACAGGACTCTGAAAATTCTTTACTAGTCAGAATCTGTAATATCTGGAATAGCTTCAATAACTACATTATACTAGATTGTGCAAATTGGGCAAGGATACAAGTACGAAGTATGCAAGTATGAAGTTTTTCTTTATAAACCCGATTATTAAAGCCAAACGAACTGCCGAATTATCGGGCTATAAGCTTGATGCAGCTATTAAAGCAGCCAAGGTAGACAAATCAAGAATATACTAGACAGCAAAAGAAGTGCTACAATACATCTCAAAAATAAACTAGAAATCTTCCAGGCTACGGGTAAGAAGACACACAGCATCTGTCTTTCTTAAATGCATTAAAGACGATTCCACCCATATCAATTGAATCAGAAAGGGCATTCTTGGTAGCAGGACTTTTCATTGCTAAAATAAAAACTAGATTGAATGATCGGAGTATCAACCATCTTTGCTTTTTAAAATCTTATTATAAAAATTTACAATAATATTTTGTATTGTGTTTTATTTAAATAATGAAAATTACCTTCTAACTTAGAAGTTTGATCTAAGTTCATTTTTTTTTTTAATTTTTAACTCAATTCAAAGGCAGTTTTAACAAACTTTAATAATTTTTTTTCTATTTGTAAAAATTTCTACATAATTCAAAAGTAATTTTTTATACATATTTTACACAGTATTATTAATAATAATATTTTGGAGGTTGCAGGACATATTAAGTTACTTAAAAAATGAAAAATGATTATATCATTTGATTTTAAGATTTATTTTATATCTTAAAAACAATTAATTTTATTCCGGGAGACAGTGCACTTTTTTCCTAGAATTCCAGGGCAAGCAAAAAATCAAGAAATGAGAAACCCTAGCATGTATTATATGTACACAGGTCATAAAAGCTACATACAATCCAGGTATGAGAAACTTGTATTTAGGTATTCTGTTCTCCTGTTGGTCTGTGGGAAAGAAAATACATCTGTCACGTACATTATTGCACACAAAATACTTGTACTAGTTTTAATAAAAAAAATGATTGATACAATACAACATAAACTATATATAGAGTTTGTGACATTTCACTGCCAGAGGATGCCATTGAATGTAGATTAACAAACTTCTACTGCATAATATTCCAGAATTCATATAGAATAAGTATTAATTGTACGTAGAATGATGCTATGGAACCCGAAAATGCCTCGAAGACTCCATCTTTAAAAAATGGTTACGTTTGTCCATATTGTAAATTTACTGGAAAGTCTTATTTTGTATTGAAGAGCCATATGAAGCAGCATAAAAGAGAAAAGGTATAAATAAAATTAATAAAATTATTTAATATCATTTAATTTTAAAATTCATTTATATTTATTAACAATATTATAATAATTTTTAAAGCGGTTTTATTAAAATTTTATTATAGGTGTATAAATGTATATTAAGCACATGCGGAGAGATGTTTCACGATTTGGATCCTTTTCTGGAACATACAAAATCGCATGAGAACGAAATGACCTACAGATGTCATCAGTGTGACAAAACATTTCAGACTCTCTACGAATTGGGAGCCCACCAGTATTCCCACAGTTTGTTTCCAAATCGTGGAACCAGAACACAACCGAGGTAAAGTGTCTTTGAAAATTTCACTAAATTATGCAAACTATTCAAGAAAAGAGAGTTAGATAAACTTTAACATTTGTAACATCGTGCAATTTTACTCTTAGACTATTTTTTGCAATTTTGAAGACTTTCTAGTTAAAGTTTAATGAAAATCAATTCTGAATATAGTTTTTTAATGGTGCGATTAATGCAGTTCAGATTTATTAAGTTTTATAAATCAAAATACTACAGATATAATCAAGAATTTTTCTTTTTCAACTTTATCTGTTATGTCAGATATAAATAATAAATTCTCTTATGCTATCAGGACACAAATACAAGCATAGGAGAGCAGAGTCATTCCTGGTGTTTGTAGAAGAAGAGTGATAGTTGATATTATTGAAAACATCTAATTGGGAACAGATAACCTTACTTCTTTATGTGCCATTTCGGCTGGGCAGAAATATATTCTAAAAAATTATAACAAAATTTTTTAGATGCTGTTAACAGTAATGAACTGATAATTAGGTATTAAAATAAAAACTTGTATATTTATTATCTAAAAATTTACAGTGAAGTATAATCTACTATATGTATATACTAATAATATATGTTATATATAAAATACTTAAAATCATTATGACACTTTTTCATCAGAGGAAAAAAAAAATAGAAATGGTGGCAGGGAGATAGAATTATCAGAAAATTTTTGAACAAGTGAGCAAAGCTCATGGACTGAGTGCTATCTGGTATATATACCACAGGCTGCTTGGCCCTGCTGCAGCCATATATCTGCAGACTGAACCCCTGAATTTGCTTACAGTGAAAGCTGGTACCCACTGGAGACAACCACTAAGTCCTGATATTCATGGGTGCACTGCTGCCATCATCCTGCCTCACTGCTTATGAGTCACTTCAAAATCAGTGGATGATAGGACTGTGGATTTGTGTAAGACCCTTTCACTTAAAAACATCAGTCTTTCCCACTTTTATTAACTGACAACCCTCAACCATTAGCCCAACTCATACCTGCTTGACCATTAGCCCATATTCATACATACGTACTTGCATGTGTGTGTGTATGTTCTTGTTTGTTTGTTTGTTTGTTTGTGTGTGTGTGTGTGTGTAATTGACAAATTGTCTTTATGAAGTTTTTGAATAAGTAGGTAAAGTAAGTAGGGGGGATGTTCTTCTAGTTATTTCAAAAAATTTTACTTGTCTTTTATTCTACAAAATCATTAATTATTCATAACTTTGTNATATACTAATAATATATGTTATATATAAAATACTTAAAATCATTATGACACTTTTCCATCAGAGGAAAAAAAAATAGAAATGGTGGCAGCGAGATAGAATTATCAGAAAATTTTTGAACAAGTGAGCAAAGCTCATGGACTGAGTGCTATCTGGTATATATACCACAGACTGCTTGGCCCTCCTGCAGCCATATATCTGCAGACTGAACCCCTGAATTTGTTTACAGTGAAAGCTGGTACCCACTGGAGACCACCACTAAGTCCTGATATTCATGGGTACACTGCTGCCATCATCCTGCCTCACTGCTTATGAGTCATTTCAAAATCAGTGGATGATAGGACTTTGGATTTGTGTAAGACCCTTTCACTTAAAAACATCAGTCTTTCCCACCTTTATTAACTGACAACCCTCAACCATTAGCCCAACTCATACCTGCTTGACCATTAGCCCATATTCATACATACATACTTGCGTTCGTGTTTGTTTGTTTGTTTGTTTGTTTGTTTGTTTGTTTGTTTGTTTGTTTGTGTGTGTAATTGACAAATTGTCATTATGAAGTTTTTGAATAAGTAAGTAAAGTCAGTAGGGGGTATGTTCTTCTAGTTATTTCAAAAAATTTTACTTTTTTTGTCTTTTATTCTGCAAAATCATTAATTATATCATAACTTTGTTTCACATAGACATTAGACAATAATGCCAAATTGGACAATGTTTCTTGAGTCATAGAAGTTTTTAGGTAATTTTTTTTATTAATATTAAGTTAGAAGAACTACACACACACACACACACTCTCTCTCTCTCTCTGCAGAGCATAGAGGCATTAGTAGTTGGAAGTGTTCATAAGATTCTTAAAGCTATATGCAAATTTGGAAATAAACTCTAATTTTACATGCCATGCTTAAACATTGAAGTTATACATGATAAATTTTCACAACAAATGTTGAAAAATATTTTAATTTCATTAAATAAGTTGCTTTCAATATGAATATCAAGATAATTCTTAAAATAATATCTAAATCCAGCATTTTGTTAATTGTTTTTATTTAAAATTTTGTACGTGCATGACCACACAAAGTTGCTATGGAAAATGCACATGGTTAGGTACAGAAGTTGCGAATAATACTGTAAGCATATAAAGCCTGTTTGACACTATACTTAACTTAACATTAAATTTTATAATAAATAACAAACAAAAATAATTTGTTATATATATTAGTTTATAACATGCATATTTTAACACGTACCTTGAACCTGTTACTGGTGTGGGTGATATGACGGATAAATATTGCAAAGTTTTCGAACATTAATAGTTCTTCCTCGGGCGATATAAAAAAAGGAACGACAGAATGCAGAACAAAATAGAACATGAATATTTAAAATAGAATCAAATTTATGTCTTGTGTAAAATCGTTGGATTGGACATGCGCATTCAATGTGGGTAGTTGATGATTAAAGATTGGTGTCTATGAGGGCCTTCCATGTGATGGACAAATTCAGTTCTTCTTTATAATTTATGGACGTGGTGGTGCAGCTAGATTTATAAATGGAAATAGCCTCCAACCACCTGAAATGCTCAGAGTGGGGCGAGGTGATGATGATTCTTGCTTGGTTGAAGGCTGCCTCAATGACATGGTCAGCCACATAAACCGCAAGAGCCATAGAGTTCCTCCCACGTAGAATGTCTGCATTGTGCTCATGTATCCTGACTCCCAAGGAGCGTTTGGTGGAACCGATGTAAATAAGTTTCCTGTCACACCCGTGGTCCTTAAGAGGTATAGAGTAAACTCCTGGGAGTCTGTTCTGATCAGGGAAGTCTTTCCTGTTGCGGAGGATGTCCAAGATAGTCGGACATCTTCTGTACACGATCCTAATGTGACATTTGTCGGTGATCTCCTTATATAACGATGCAATGTACAGATTATATGTGATGGGGACCCGTGTTTCATCTTCCGGTCAGTTGTTGCCATGGGTGTGGATGGCGGACCCATGTACGGAGCAGTGGTAATGATTAATCAGTCTATGGATCAGCTTAGGGTACCCGTGGTTGGTTGCTACGTGTTTAATATGTGCTAATTTGGTGGCTAGAGCTCTTGGAGTGGACGAATGAGAAAATGCCCTCCTGATTAAAGTGTTGAATACAGTGGTCTTGTACTGATGGATCCCCATCATGTATAATCCGTACATTTCATCGTTATATAAGGAGATCGCCAACAAATGTCGCATTAGGATCACGTACAGAATATGTCCGACTATCTTGGACATCCTCCGCAACAGGAAAGACTTCCCTGATCAGAACAGACTCCCAGGAGTTTACTCTATACCTCTTAAGGACCACGGGTGTGNCTTAAAATAATATCTAAATCCAGCATTTTGTTAATTGTTTTTATTTAAAATTTTGTACATGCATGACCACACAAAGTTGCTATGGAAAATGCACATGGTTAGGTACAGAAGTTGCGAATAATACTGTAAACATATAAAGCCTGTTTGACACTATACTTAATTTAACATTAAATTTTATAATAAATAACAAACAAAAATAATTTGTTATATATGTTAGTTTATAACATGCATATTTTAACATGTACCTTGAACCTGTTACTGGTGTGGGTGATATGACAGATAAATATCGCAAAGTTTTCGAACATTAATAGTTCTTCCTCGGGCAATATAAAAAGAGGAACGACAGAATGCAGAACAAAATAGAACATGAATATTTAAAATAGAATCAAATTCATGTCTTGTGTAAAATCGTTGGATTGGACATGCGCATTCGATGTGGGTATTCGATCTATGAGGGCCTGCCATGTGACAGACAAATTCGGTTTTTCTTTATAATTTATGGACGTGGTGGTGCGGCTAGATTTATAAATGGAAATAGCCTCCAACCACCTCAGATGCTCAGAGTGGGGCGAGGTGATGATGACCCTTTCTTGGTTGAAGGCCGCCTCGATGACAGGGTCAGCCATGTAAACCATAAGAGCCATAGAGTTCCTCCCATGTAGAATGTCTTCATTGTGCTCACGTATCCTGACTCCCAAAGAGCGTTTGGTGGAACCGATGTAAATAAGTTTCCTGTCACACCCGTGGTCCTTAAGAGGTATAGAGTAAATGTTCGGGAGTCTGTTCTGATCAGGGAAGTCTTTCCTGTTGCGGAGGATGTCTAAGATTGTTGGACATCTTCTGTACGTGTGTACGTGATCCTAATGTGACATTTGTTGGTGATCTCCTTATATAACGATGCAACGTACGGATTATTTGTGATGGGGACCCGTGTTTCTCTTCCGGTCGGTTGTTGCCACGGGTGTGGATGGCGGACCCATGTATGGAGCAGTGGTAATGATTAATCAGTCTACGGATCAGCTTAGGGTACCCATGGTTGGTTGCTACATGTTTAATATGTGCTAATTTGGTGGCTAGAGTTCCTGGAGTGGATGAATGAGAAAATGCCCTCCTGATTAAAGTGTTGAATGCAGTGGTCTTGTACTGATGGGTCCCCATCACGTATAATTCATACGTTGCATCGTTATATAAGGAGATTGCCAACAAATGTTGCATTAGAATCACGTACAGAATATGTCCGACCATCTTGGACATCCTCCATAACAGGAAAGACTCCCACGATCAGAACAGACTCCTGGGCGTTTACTCTATACCTCTTAAAGACCATGGGTGTGACAGGAACCTTATTTACATCGGTTCCACCAGGGAGGAACTCTATGGCTCTTGTGGTTTATGTGGCTGACGCTGACATCGAGGCGGCCTTCAACCAAGCAAGGGTCATCATCACCTCTCCCCATTCTGAGCATCTGAGGTGGTTGGAGGCTATTTCCATTTATAAATCTAGCCAGACCACCACATCCATAAATTATAAAGAAGAACTGAATTTGTCCATCACATGGCAGGCCCTCATAGACACCGATCTTTAATCACCAACTACCCGCATCGAATGCGTATGCCCAATCCAACGATTTTACATGAGATATGGATTCGATTCTATTTTAAATATTTATGTTCTATTTTGTTCTGCATTCTGTCGTTTCTTTTTTGTATTGCCTGAGGAAGAACTATTAATGTTCAAAAAAGTTTATGATATTTATCTGTCACATCACCCACACCGGTAAGAGGTTCAAGGTACATGTTGATTTCATCCCAGTATTCTTTGAATGTAGAAGTTTACCATGCATATTTTATACAGGGTAGGCAAAAAGTCTGTAAAAACTATAAACATTCATTAAAAAATTTCAAGAATCATTGGAATGAAATGCAGTTTATGTGGGAAATGTTGTCAGCATGTGGGCTTGTTTCGATAGAAAAATTATTTTTAAGACATATTCTAAAATATGCAAATAATGCAGACTTATACAAATAAAAATATTCTTGCCGTCTTCATTTTCTTCTAAGCTATTTACTTGCCTATAGCTATGCAATTCGAGTAAAAGTTCCACAACTGGATATGTTGCATAAAAAAATTTTTAGAATCATTTCTTTACAATAGGGAAAAATTAGTTCCAAAAATCATCAATAGGTGGTGTTGACATGCAGATGACAATGAAAATGAATTTCAATGTGATATCTGATTATGAGGTATTTAAATTCCTAAGTGTTTCAATCAAGTCCTTCCACATTGTTGGAATTGGAAAATGCTACTTGCTGTGTGGTAACACCCATCTATCAGGACATGCTGCACTCTTGTTATTTGACTAAATTGTGTTATAGCCTAGTCCGGGGTCGGCAGTTTGTCAAGTGAGAAGAGCCAAATTGTCATGGAAACAGGATAACAAAAGTACCAGAGAGATGCCCCTAGTGCGTGTTACAGGCATTCCGTGACAATAATAAATTCTTATTACAAATATACTGAATTATTTATATTGTTATTGGCTATTGGCCAAATGAATAATAATAATTTATACTGTTAATGTAAATAATAATTTACCATGGAACCCCGGTTAATGAACTCAATCCGTTCCGCGACTTCGTTCGTTAACTGAATTGTTCGTTAACCGAAGCAATTTTTCCCATAGAAATTAATGCAAATGCAATTAATTCGTTCTAGTCTCCGAAATTTTTGTAATTTTATTTGAAATATACAGTAATTTTCTTTGATGAAAATGTAGGAAAACGTAGTATCTATCATTACAGCAACAAACATGTAAACTNACAGGAAAGACTTCCCTGATCAGAACAGACTCCCAGGAGTTTACTCTATACCTCTTAAGGACCACGGGTGTGACAGGAAACTTATTTACATCGGTTCCACCAAACGCTCCTTGGGAGTCAGGATACATGAGCACAATGCAGACATTCTACATGGGAGGAACTCTATGGCTCTTGTGGTTTATGTGGCTGACCCTGTCATTGAGGCGGCCTTCAACCAAGCAAGGGTCATCATCACCTCGCCCCACTCTGAGCATTTCAGGTGGTTGGAGGCTATTTCCATTTATAAATCTAGCTGCACCACCACATGCATAAATTATAAAGAAGAACTGAATTTGTCCATTACATGGCAGGCCCTCATAGACACCGCCGATCTTTAATTGCCAACTACCCGCATCGAATGCACATATCCAATCCAACGATTTTACACGAGACGTGTATTTGATTCTATTTTAAATATCTATTTTGTTCTGTGTTCTGTCATTCCTTTTTTATATTGCCCGAGGAAGAACTATTAATGTTCGAAAAAGTTTATGGTATTTATTTGTCACATCACCCACACTGGTAACAGGTTCAAGGTACATGTTGATTTCATCCCAGAGTTCTTTGAATGTAGAAGTTTACCATGCATATTTTATACAGGGTAGGCAAAAAGTCTGTAAAAACTATAAACATTCATTAAAAAATTTCAAGAATCATTGGAATGAAATGCAGTTTATGTGGGAAATGTTGTCAGCATGTGGGCTTGTTTCGATAGAAAAATTATTTTTAAGACANAAAAAATAACGGGTAGCACTTCATCGGAAGATTCTTTGAGTCGAAGTCTCTTTCGGTAAAAACCCACCAGTGGCTAAGTGGTCTTCGTACCTTGAACACAGGGAGTTCGTTCGTGGGTTCGCACCTTGCTGAGACGGGCTGGCTACGTGGAGTTTTCCCGGATTTCTCCACGTCTGTAACGCCTAAATAGGGGCCAGTTTCCCTTAAAAACACCTCCCAGAAGGCATTTCACCCTAGTCAAATCGCCCAAGTATTGCGTTGCCATAACTTAACAATGAAACAAACTCTTTCCGTAAGGAACAAGAAATTGATCTAAAGTTGATTGTCTTACTCTTTTAATCAAAATTTTTCTCAAATGCGATAGTGCATTGTCGTTTTATATTGCCACTATGACTTCTTCCTTTCTTTGATACCATATTAATTAAATATATAAATCACAAAACTGAAAAAAAAGAAGTATAGCTCAAACACTCGGAAAAGCAATGCTTAACTCGCGCAGGCCTAACACCAACTAAAATTTGATACAATATACCATTACGTTCGTTATCTGAGACAAAATTTTTGCAAAATAAAAGTTCGTTAACCGATTTGGTCGTTAACCAGGACGTTCGTTAACCGGGGTTCCACTGTATATTGTTAATTTAAATGTGTGAAATATGACAGGGTGCCTCTAGTGGTCGTTTTTGGCATAACATTACACGGACAGACGTGGGATGGACGGACATGCGTTCAGTGGGTTATATATATAGATATGCTTCAAATGCTACCACTCACATGCGACTCATATTGATCAACACGAGTGTGGTCATATACGGACGGGCTAAAGAGTGGTAGAGAGTACGCCATACAAGTCGAAGTTTGTTCGGTGGCTCTATCTCATAAACTCAAAAGTTATAAGGCTGCTTGAGATGAGGTGAAATTGGAGTTTATATCCGAAGAGCCGCAAACGTCTATGCAAAGAGCCACTTGTCTAATGTCAAACTATGTCAAAACTAATGTCAAAACTATGTTAAATACTTGTCTAATAATTGCATTGAAAGTCATTTTATTGTCATTTGCATTACTTTTGTATGTCAATGCCATTTGGGATTTTTGGAATTAATTTTTTTCCTGTCAATGAAAATCCTGTGTCAACAATACTTAATAACATAAATCTCATTTCATTCTGATAATTTTTCCATTGTTTATGAATGTTTAAAGTTTTATGGACCTTTTGCCCACCCTGTACTTGTCATTTATTATGAAATTTGATGATATGGCATAGTGTCAAATGGTTTTAAAACACAAAATTTACAACTAATAAATTTGAAATTTGTTTGTCTATAGGCAATTGATATTTCATATATTTATGTACCAGTATTAGTAAGAAACTTGATTTCTTTCAAACAGTACAATGGCAACATAACATAGTAGTGATGAAGTTCTGTATGTGTATACAAGGTGTATCAGAATGACGTTTTAAAAATTTGGGGATTATAGAGGATGAAATTTTAAACTTTTCAGAAAACTACATTTTTGTCAGCCTCTTACAATTCTGCTGATTTTGATTTCTATTGTAAATTTCCGACAAGTGTAATACAGTTTTTAAAATGTGTTTGAAAATTTTAATAACTCAACTATTATACTAAATTCATTTAATTTTAAGGAGATGCAGAAATGCAAGCTCTACAAGTGCCCTGCTTGCCTGGTGCTAAGATCAGTGCCATGGGTCCGATTCACAACGCGACAGGTTGATTTTGATGGATGGCAGTCAATATATCTGGGCCAAACTGCTCGTAAAAATTTATGAGTGTGACTCAAATTTTAACCTGGGATTCTTGGGGTGATGAGCTCAATGTATTTACTGCTGTGACCATCAAAGAATCTAAGAATGTAATTGTGTCTAAAAAGTGAAATTAAAAATTGAAATTTTAGCATTTTTTTTCCAGATTTTGTTTTTTTGATCTATTGGCTCTGGATTTTTGAATTATCCCCTTTTACCAGATTTAGAATATTTTTATTGCTATCAAGAGTTTCACATCTTGCTGCAGCTATAGCTTATGTTTAGTTTTGTTTTATCGAAAACATATCTTTATCTTTACGGTGATGATTTTTAGTTTTTCTCAATAATCGCATGCACATTAATAAAAAAAAATCATACACATGAATATTCAAAATATTTATTTTCCAATCTTCCATTCCCAAAAATTTTTGTTATCTAAATTATAGATCAAAATTACCTCAATTTTAAAATAAATATTTAATTTTCGAAATTACAATGAAATTAAACTGAAATGAAAATTTTACGTAATTTTTTTTTTATTTCAGATTTTTTCGATGTTCTCAGTGTCTTAACAAGTATGCCACACCTGCCGCTCTGGATCATCACATGGCTACTTCGTCTCATAATTATGCCTGTCCTTTTGTCTCTTGTAATAAAATATTTCCCTGCGAAAGATATCTTCGACGTCACTTGCACACGCACGGAACCTCGGACGTACACATCTGTAAAGACTGTGGTAAAGGATTTAAAACCGAACACTATTTAAAAGTACACATGCTAACGCACAGTGGAGCGAAACCATTCATGTGCGAACAGTGCGGTTCTTCCTTCAACAGACGAGATAAACTAAAGAGGCACTATCTTGTTCACGAACCCATTAAACGTTTGAAGTGCCCTTTTCGTGCTCTCGCAGGCTGTCCGAAAGAGTTTAACAGACCCGACAAATTAAAAGCACACATTTTGACTCATAGTTGTATCAAACCTTTCATGTGTAAGTTGTGTGGTAGAAATTTTACTAGAAAATCTCACTTACGGGATCACGAACAGATTCATACGGAAAAGAATTGTCCATTTTATTGTAAACAATGTGGAAGAGGTTTTGAACAGGAAAATTCTTTACAAAATCACCAGTGTACAGAAATGGTTAGCGTACGGAAACGTCGATTGGATCACAAGTTTTATCGGGGACGACCTAGGAAATTAAAATGTACAAACTTTGACAGAGGTAATAATGTTCAGATGACTAGAAGGCAGGGTCAACTGAAGAAAATGAATAACTTAACGGAGCAAAGACAAGAAACAAAATCCGGAAGTATGCCCGACAGCGACTTGTCGGACATAGTGGACGACGACATTCCCACGGCCCACATAGAAATAATATCCACCAACGAAAACATAGGATCTGGGGAAATAACAGAAATTTCTTTACCGGTAGCCGTTACGAACGGTCAGTTCCAACCCATTCTCACGCATAAAGCCGAACATTTGAACATCATAAGTGCATCGTCTTCATCCGACATCACCAATAAATTTCACATAGATAATGCCAATAACGTCACATTATCTAATAATATATCTCAGGTATCATTGATAAGTCAAGATTCTACGGAAGTGATGGAAATTCAGGATTCGCACATCACCCAAATCGCATGCACTGTGGTCTTGCCCCCATCCGAAACCGCAGTTAGCTGATAATTCACATCCGACATTCCTTTATAAGCAAATTATTTCATTATACATAAATTATGTTTTATACATAATAGTTATTTTATTTTAGCAAATTATGCTTACAACAGAAGGAAGATAAAATTGAATTATGTGGCAGAATTTCTTTGATATATAATTGGAGTAAGTTTTTGTCGTTTGAGATTATTTTATATATTTTGTTATGATTTTGTGTCTCGACAGACTCGTAACAACACAATTTATGTATAGAGCGGCCCAAAACTCTCAATCAAGATTATTTGTAATTGAGTCATTTCCAACAAAGACTAAGTTTTTCCCTGTATATTTCATACATAACATGCAACTTCTATAATAAGACAGTTAGTTACCTTATTGCTCATTTATATAGAAATTTGGTACGAAATTAGAAATAGTTTTATTGAAAGCTGTCATAATTAATTTTGATGTTAAATTTCATATAAATTCTATGAAACTGGAAGTTTTAGTATTGTCGTTTTGTAGCTAGAGAAATGAATTTAGTCCTAATGTGAATGGATGTCATAAAGCAAAAATGCAGAGTTTGCTTTAACATTTTTGCTGCCATCACGAAAGAAAAAGATGCATCAAATTTCAATCTATCATAGGCAGATTACGAATGAAATATTTTTCATTTAGAGCAATATTTATGGAATTACTGTATATGTGATGATGCAGAAGCGAGTCATTGACATCTACTGAAGAACAAAATGAAAAAGCATTATAATTAAATACATTGTGGGAAAATATGAAACTAGGCAATAAAAATCTCTGCAATTTTATCTTTCTTGCAGCAATTTTTTTATAATAATACTACAATCTCAATTATATTTTGAGTTTATTTATCTAAAATCTTTTGAGAAAGTGGAAATTCCCATATTTTTAAAAAACGAACAAGTTTTTTTAGTTCAAATTATCTATATAATCCCTGTTTGTTAAGAAAATGGGAAATTTCCACTTTGTTGAAAGATTTTAAATAAGTAAGCTCGAATATAATTGCGATTGTAACATTAATTTCTACCATGTTTCTTATACTTCCAGGTAGTAATAAATAACATCTGAAAAGTTATATGCATGCAATTTATCAAAAATTTTGCACAAAATCATGCCATTATCATATGTGGTGAGGGTCATATGACTCATTTGTCTGCGGTGAAAGTGTTAATAAAGGCACTAAATGTTTAACTGGTACAGTTAATAAATTTTTTTCATAGAATTTTGTATAAAATTCACTTAAGAGTGCAATATAGTTATATAATTTATCTATATTATAAGAAAATTTTCCAAAAATGTTACAGATCTACAAGCTAGTCCTTTATATCTGTTTAAATGTGCCTTATAAAATTAGCTTTGCAAAAATTGCACATTTTTGTAATCGGTTATCGTCGCCATTCTATCATAAGCTATCGAGCGTAGAATTTCTTGCTCGTGCCAGTTTCACGTATGAAATATAGACTGGAGCGAGGAGTAATTTTATTAATTCCAAAAAAATGCACCTAATTTGTTTTATCTTCCTTCTGAATAAATTGTAATAAAACGGTTCGCCGTCACTTAAGAAGCTGTAAATAGCCAAACAAATGCCGCTTTTTAAATTAGCAAGCATTTTATTTGTAAGAGATAGAAAAGTTTAGTTATCATAAAATATACTCGAATTTAAGTTATTTTTTTTAATATAGATACGTAATAATTGTCAACACGGATTGCTGACTGTTCACAGAACCAACTGCAAATCTTCTGATACGAATACTATGCATATTATAAATTCTTTTGGATAAATTTATGATTAATGCAGTTTTAAAGATTTAAATCAAGGCTGCTGTATTAGTAGATATGCCAGTGTAGAATCTGCATAACTTTCATGATATTTTATTGATACCAAGAGCAGTTTCTGTTTAGAAATGTCTCATTCTGGAAGAATAGTTGTATCTTTTCAATGTTTTATATTCTTGTCTTAAAAAGAGAATGAACGATCACGCTTCGTAGGCTTCCCAATTAACTTTATAACTTAAAGATGATTTTTATAAGACATAAATCAACAAGCAATTTTAATAAATATAATTTGGGATATTCGAGTCGCAGAGGCGGTAAAGATACGGATCTCATATTTTCTTCGGGCTCTTCCGACCGAAAAGGCCAATTTTGTCGAAAGAAAAACAAAAAGCCAATAATACTTTCAGATAGGAACACTTCATTATCATTATTAGCTTTTTCCATATCCTGCGTGAAGTTGCTATTCATTATCCTTATCAAGAGAGAAAGCAAACAAGAGGAAGTTTGTCTTTATTCCTTTCTTTTGTTCACTTCTTCCTTCAGACTGGCCTCTATACACTTCTTCCACATTTTCAGCTTCCATTGTTTCTTTCAATTTCAATTCTTCAACAAGAAGAAATACTGTTCAAGTACTTAAAGTAGTATTCCTAGTATTCCTGTTATCTTTTAATTACTGTTAAAAATTTATATACTGATCTCTCATTGTGTGAACAAACCTTATAAAATTCTATCCTCCAAAAATTAATAAAAGGGAAAAAAGACAGATAATTTTACAATACTTAAGTTAGCAGACACTTCAAATCTAGGACCATTCCTTTGACCACAAAGCCCAAAACTCGAATATTCCACCAATCCATCATCCTGGATCCATGGGATAAACTGACGTTTTGAAGATTTTCCAGTACCCAACGTATACGAAAATAAGTCTTATAATTTACCGTTTGTATAATAATTTATTTTGATATGGATTACGGCACATACAATTGGTAGATGATTGTTTAAACTCTTAATAATTCTTCATATACAAAATTATTCTCGATCATGGGTAATGATATATTAAATCATTTAATTTCATGTTAATAATTTTACAACTTTTATATATATATTTTATAAAATTGTAATAAATAGACAAGAGAAAAATCATTAATTAGGAATTTGTAAATTTTTTTCAAGGAAGAAATGTTTAAAAATTTGATGAACTTTCAATGAATTTTCTGAAAATAAAGTTGATAATCAAAATAATTATGAAATTGTTTTGTAGTTATTTTATAGCATTTAATTAAATTGGTCAATTTTAACAGTTCACATCCCATAATTTTTCTTCCAGATTTCAAGTTTCTCGTGTTTCATATTCTACACTAATGGCCATTTTGTAAAGTATATTCGACTTCACACATTTCTTCATTATATATTGTATAATTAACAGTTAATTATACAATACATTTATATTCCACATTTTCTCTTGAAGAGATTTTTAAAGCTTTATCATCCAAAATGACCATTAAAGTGAAGAAAGCGTGTCCAAATTCATCTTTCAGTTATTCAATTATCATTATTTTATTACAAAAATAATTTGTTTTTCTTCCTTTTCGCATCGATATTTAAAAGTTATTTAGATCAAAAAAGAATATTTTAATGGGTGGGTGTCTTTTTCCTGTGATACTTTAAAATAAAATTCATTCATCCGCGAAAGAATGTTTATGAAATGTAAATTTTGCAAAAATGTCTTACGGCTAAGCAATTTTAATGCGTGTTATTTTTCAAAAAAATTGTCCGTTTGTGTGTGTGTCATAAAAGTTTGTCGAAAAGTAAAAAAAAATATCAGTTTATTATTATGCAAATTTACCATATTTTCGATTTTATAACCCGCAATTCTTATTTCGAACTGATTAGTTTAGTAAAAATTTATTGTACGATTGTATTTAATTTAACGGAATTCATCGTTTTTGTGTGTCTGATACGTTTCTTTAATTTTAATTTTGAATAAATTACTAAAACGTTACTGAATTTTAGGATGAAAAATTGCAACTGGAATTTGATATTTTGAATTAGAAACAAAAATCTTAACCGTTTTACACGCGAATTTCGTGCAGAAAATCTAAGGAAAGGCCGAAAGCAAACGAGGTCCTAATTTGCATACGACACAAATGACAAAAAGTGGAAAAATTGCATTCTAAAAGTCGGTTTTGGGAGGACTTTCTAAGAAAAATCGACGAATAGAGGCAATTTTTTTTCGAAATTTAATTTGCTTGTAGAAAAAAAAGGGTGTATAAAAATACTATAAACGGGTCGATATCCATTGTTTGCGTCTATAACGGGACGTCTTCTATATTTCTATATTAAGTTCAACGGGAAAACCAGTTTTGTAGTCTTATTAATTAGTTTGTTGTATCTAAATGGAGCGTAGAAAGAAACGGTTGAACGTACTTTGTATGTAGGGTTATAAGCGCAACCCGTCGACTCGTTCCATTTTCTACAAAGTCAGTTTGTCTGTCTGCACGTAGCGGGAGGATGACCGAAAACGAAAAAGCCGATACTTCTGTGGAATTCGTATCAGATACACAGAGTAACACCGGTAGCGATCTACCACCTCCGGTAAGTTCTATGTTTTTGATAGTGATGACACTACTACTAGTGTTCATTCGCTTATTATAACAAATATCGGTGTTTTTATCATTAAAATGCTTCGAATTCTTGTGTTTACAATCGGTAATTCATAAAATTTCACGGTTTTGAAGGGTAATTGCGATTGCTTGCAATTGGCATTTAACAATGCGCGAAATTGTCGGATACACTAGGGATGATTAAAGAAATTAATTTATATAGAAGAAAACGGTGTAACGAGCCTTACATTGTTAATAACACGAAAATAATATAGGATACTTATTACGATTCTACAGTCTGAGTACGTTCCTATGTAATTGTTTCTTGTTCCGTTTCCAATTACAAGTTTGGATTTGTGGAGGGATGTTGAATGGGATTAAGAGAAGAAAGTATTTTTATAGGTAAAAGACAGATTAAATTAATACACGCGATATCCTTCGATAAGGATAAGGAGGAAATGAAAATTAGGTCACCGATACGAAATTCGTGCACGGTACATTGTTCTTTTATTGGAAAATTATAGATGGTGGGGAAGTGATACGTGTTCTATTATTTTAACGTAAAGCTCACAATGAAGTTGTACATAGTGTAGCATTGGAAAATCATAGATGACAGTAAAACGACACATTGTCTTCAATTGTAATTACAAATTTCCAATTTCGTAAAAAATCCAATGGTTTATAATGGAAAAAATCATCTCCTTTGGCTCGTATTAAATTATAGGAAATACATTAAGGAATAAAGAAGCGTGACGAGAATTTTGTGAAATACTTTTATCTCGCACGGACGAACACGAATAAAGACGAACACATTAAATGATTCCTTCTTCCATTATGGATGCCTTTCGTTCATCTGTTAAATATGTTAATGTTTGACAAAACGAGCACAAATTCATTTAATGACGTCGATAAAGAACTATTTTAAATGAAATTCGAAGACATTAACCGAAATTATCGATGATGCCGACCCGAGGAATTTTTCAAATTACATTCAAATTTTCGATATTATTTAAAATGTATTAAACGTCAATAAATTGCGTAAAATTTTGGCCTTTGGGGGTAGTATAGATGCATAAATATATATCTTTTTTTTCTCTGTTTGTTGTAGAAGCAATTAGAGAGTGCCTTTATGTTGAACGTTCTTCACCGTTTTAGCTTCAAAACGGTTTAAACTGGACGACTAGACATACAGACACACTTTTTAAAATCATAAATTACATTTGTACATTTCGACGATAATAATTATTCGATGTTTTTCGAAGGCCTATCAGAAACCCTATTCGAATTCCATAAAGATCGCCCGAATTCTATCCACCACCCTCATCTTCGTCAGCATCATCGTCGGGATCATCGTCCTTCTCGCATTGTATCTTCAAACAAATACAAAATGTAGTTGCCCCGTTAACGTAAGTATAATTACTAATACGATCATCTACCAGTCGGGAATTTTAGTGTTTATTTTTTCAGATTTATGGAGTTTCTCCCGTTTCTTTAAGGAGTAATGACCCTAGCAACATCATTACTTGTCGGTGGGAATCCCTATTTTTCCTATTATCGGAATGGCGACGATGCATTCGACATCGTTGCAGTTAGCCTAGATTTCGGTCGTGGAAAATTCCAACTTTGACCTGGATACGGCGATTTCGGTTGCTGCTGTCGTCGGCCACGTCCTATCGTCGTTATTTTCAACTTTTATGCGGGATTTTACGACATAAATCGCTAGTTCTATAATTAATAGAATGAATTTCGTGTAAAAGACGTTAATTAACTTTTAGTCTAGAGTACGTCAACTCTAAATTATAGTTAACCTGTAGAATAAAACACTAATGTCGCTTTCAAGAATTGAAGGGCCGAACCTTCAGTTATATACTTATATCGAGGATATTAGTTTCTAGTTCGATTAACTCTAGAATAACGTTTATGTAGGCGCTGATAACGTCTAGAAATTAATCTCTATAATGTCAGCTTCTACCGTATAGTGTGCATTAGTTACTAATTTATAGAATAAGATATTTTCTAGATGACGATCATTGTTAGTTTGTAGATAAACGTGTAATGGATTATATGAATTTACGTAGGAAAGTGTTGAGAGACGGGTCATAGATGATTATCAAGCATTGCCACGTCAAGCTCCTAAAGACGATCGTCAAGACTTGGACCAAGTCTCTTCCAAAAAGATTCCACTTAAACTGATGTTAGACGGTAAAGCTAATGTAAGTTTTGTGTGTTGATTTTCGTATAAATTTATGCACGTGTAAGCAAAACATGCCTTATTTTTCGCAGTTTTCGTCTATTTTTTTCATCCAATTTGAAAAAAAACATTTTCCACATCTTTCATAATTTTGCTCAATTTTTAGCGTAATCGCCTTTAGAATACAGCAGATTCCCACATGTACGGCTCAATTTAGTGGTGCCCAAAATTCTGTCCCGGGCCAAATTCTACCCCCGAATATATCTGACACACGACTTAAACGAAAATTAGGCCTATTTCTATCGTACGTAAAGTAGCCTATACAAAATATTTGTGGCCCGCCTACCTACGACCCTACGACTTACGCGCGATTTGGCCCAATAGATTGTTGGAAAATCCGTCGTAAAGCGAGTCGCCCGATTTTTTATAAGCTCAATGCTATAAATTGAGTCTACGTTTCTGAAAATGGAAGTTTGGAATGGATAACACCGTACACGAACGAGCAATAAAATGACGGGTTTTTTGTACGCGGTAACCCCCATTTTTTACGACTGTGTCGTAAAAAATAGGGGTTACCGCGTAAATTTTTTCGTCTAGATTTTTAAACGTACAATAAGGAAGCTTATAACATTCGAATGTTTTCGATTTAATGGCGATATTTTTCTTCTGTCAACAACGAATCGCGTAGTAACGAGGGGAATTAATGAACTCGTTTGGTTATTTGTCATTTGCGTGCCATTCGACTGGTTCTAGTATCCGCCCACAATTACCAAATAAATTTGCGCGATTAAAAAGGGGAGAACAAAACGAGGAAGTCGGTTTTTTCTCGAGACGTGTCCTAGAAAAATCTATAATTTAGAGCAACTTCATTTAGCGGTTTCTTGATTTTTTTCTCCGTAACATTTTGTCTTATAAAAGTAGGAGATACAAGATTTATTTATGTCCTCTTTTACTAAGT